TTTATAAGTAGATGTAAGTTATTAGATGCTTACCAAAAGCATCCTGACAACATGAATTCACTTAAAAATTGTTTTTGAATTTTTATGATTATAAAAAGATAGAATATTCTCTATATGTGTGAAAAATATATGAAGGAAAGGAACAAATAGAGTGAAGGTTTAATGGAATATTGTTGTTGATTTCATCTCTTGAACTGAGCTGTATATATACATATGATGTTTCTTTTTTGAAAAATCCCTCTAGATTCCTTAACCCTCAAATGTAAAGACTGGTTAAAAAAAGAAGAAGATGAAAAGTACATTGAAATGGACGTGGAGTCTTTAGTGACACACAAGTTCATTTTCTAAGGGAAAAAAACAGATTATTTTCAACTTGTATTTTAATTTAATATATGTATAAAATAAAACTCATTTTCTTTTAAAGAGTTTATTTTTAACAAATAACCACTCAAAGCAATACAAAAATGATAAGTGAAATGAGAGTTAAAAGTGAAAATATTTATTTTGGATTTACCTCAGCATAAGGACCACCCAGTTTATAATTTTTGAACTATTAATCAGTTCTGAAAGTGCTGTGAAATCCTGTTTGGGTTATTTTTTTCTGACTTATTAATAGGTCCGTGTGTCTATGTGTAATGTATGTTTCCATGTTGCCTTTAATTATGTACCTATTTTTTGTTTATAGAAATGAAACTATGTTTAACTTAAAACAAAATAACAGAATAAGGATGAAGGCATGCTTTCTAAAAAAGAAGCTTTGTTTTTTTTAGCCAATTCCTCCAACACTGAGATTCTGAAAACCTTCTGTGCCAGTGATTTGTGAGGTTAACATAAAGCGACAGATGATAAGATTGTATAAAAGTCTTAGTACAGGACTATCAGTAGTTATAGGTTACATAAATTAGCATTGATGATGCTGATAATTCGAATGCAGGGATGAGCACAGAAAACCAAACGCTGTGGTTCTATATTTAAACAAAAAGAGTATGTCTATATATCATGAATTTTATTATAAACACAAGTACGTATTCCAAAACCAACCTGCATAATATTTGGCTCCCTATCCAGGGCAAAGAAACAAGCAGATTTTATAGAGCCTAATATGAATGCAATCTCAGGAGTCTACCAAATGCTATGAGAATGAAATAATCTTAGGTAGTTAAAAATATTAATTGAATTAAATACCTAAAATGCAGGTTAAACCAACAAATAGCCTGGGGTACACCAGATGTCCTATTATGTTTTAGTTGCAACCACAGATATTGATTAATAAGTAAGTAAATAAGTAAATAACTAACTAAAATACACAGGATTGAAGGTTATCGCGTTAGACATTTGTCCTCCTTACCTATGCAGTCCAAAATCCACCCCACGGTTCCATCTCCACCGCAAGCCAGCACTCGGAAATCAGAAACGTCACGGAAAAAATTTAACCTTGAAAACATAGTTTATGGTATATGACTGACATTTTTCAATTAAGATTTTTTTTCAGTTTATTTCATCAACAAAAATAAAAAAAATTTTCTGTAAAGACTATGAGGTTTCTCAATGGTCTTATGAAAAACATGTTTTCTTATCAAGAATAACAAAACTGAAGAATCTATGATAATACTAAAAATATTTTAGAATTATAGATTCTATGTACAATAATGCATAATTTTCCTATAATCCGCTAAGATACAAAAGCAAAATTAATAAGCTACAATTTTGGATAACATTCTCCCAGATATGCTCTATAATCAATGATATAATTCAAAATAATAGGTACTACTTTATTTCAATAATATTCATCAATCAAAAGATTGTTTTATAATTACATAAA